AGGGGGTGACTGTCCTCCCTCCCCAGCCATCCTCTGACAATGGGAAGGTGGGTCACCCTCTCAGGGCAGAGGTCCCCCAGGCAGCAGTGAAGGTGGGCCCCACCCCTTGCCCACAGCCCACTCTGCCTCCTCTGTGGCCTCGTGTTTGAACCCACCAACTCTGTCACTACTGGGGACCGAGGCCCAGGGCCTGGCCAGACCTCTGTGGCCCCACCCAGCCACCCCTCTGGGCAGTGGGCAGTGGGCAGCCAAGGTCCTGTCTGGCCGTCCTGATCCCGGAGAACCATCGTCCCTCCCCGGACTGCCAGGCCCCCTGCAGGGGCAGCTGAGGGCCGGCCTGACCCATGGCTTAGGTCAGGGACATTTCTGCCAGGCCCCCCTGAGGCCCTCATCCATGTCCTCCCCTTTTCCTCCCCACCTTCAGGGCGGCCTTGCTGCCGGCCCTACTGAAGGCCGTCGGCTGCCTAGCATCCCCCTCTCAGCTTGGGGTTTCAGAAGGCCCTAAGCAGGCTGGGGAAGCCCCATTTCCAGATCTTTCCATTGTCAGCAGCCTCCTGACAGCGCACAGTGTCCAGGGCTCAGCCTGTGAGGCAGACCTGCCTTCCGGGCCTGCCCGTGCCACAACCCCCGCAGGGCCTCCCGGGACTCGGTCAGGTGGGAGACGATGGGGTTCCAGTCGGCAGGGGGCTGTGGCCTGGCTGCCCGGCTAGATGTTTGTGAGATCGTTTTGTTCTAAGCCTTTTATGATAATGAATGGAAAACAAGGAGAAAAGAAACTGCTGATATTAGTGATGCAATGCGTAGGTCTCACCAGCTTAAAATAACCGAGACAGAAACCCAGAAACCGCCTGACAGCTGGTGCCACAGCCCGGCTGGCTCCCAGGGCACCGCTCGGCGTTAGTTGTGAAGGGAAAACATTAAAGAACAGAAACGGTGGAAACAGCATCAAAGACGCTGGTGTCTGCAGGCAGAGCGAGTGAGCAGGCGGTTGGCTTCAGTTTAGAACAAAGGGCCACTCCCCGTGTGGGTGGCCAGCGGGCCAGGGCCCAGAGGGCTGGCACTGGGTGGGAGGGGCTCCATGGAGAGCTGGGGTGGGGCCGGGTCAGGCTAAGGGTCACCAGGCATCCAACGCAGGGACCCAGCTGCTCAGCTCCGGCCAGGCTCTGGCCAGGGTACTGCAGTTTGTCCCCAGGGGCTGAGGGGACGGG